CCCTCCCCCCCTTCCCCTTTAATATATATATATATTTTTGTGACGATATATTTATATATATTTGGCTGTTGCCTTCCTCTTTTCTTTGCCTCTTTGCCTTTTGGCTGTGTGCAAGTGGGTCGATATGGCTCACGGGGGTGGGGCAGCCGCCGCTCAACCTACACCTATGTGGGCGGCCTTGTACGCAAGAGGTTTTGAACAGGGGGAGTTGTAAGTAAGAAGACAAAAAATGAATTGATATCTTTCTTGTTTCCTTTTTTTTTTTTTTTTTTTTCGCTTTGGCGCTCTAATAACTTTGTGACGAGATGTATATATTTTTTCTTTTTTGGCCGGCCTGGCAAATGGTCTCGGTCCACTCTCGTAATAAAGCACGTGGAGGTGGTTTGCTGACGTGGCGTTACGCTATTGGTCACGATGGATGTGGGTTGCTGATGTGGCCTTATGTGGTTGGCACATTTGCTCCGTTTGGTATTATTTGCGAATATATATAATGTTATATTAACTTATATATGTTATCAGAGTAATTTATAGTATTATATTCGGCAAAATAATATCATGTCCAGAAGAAAAAAAAAAAGAGAAAACATCCTGTCGCATGTGCCGCCCTGAACTATCCGACCGCTCGCGGTGTGCTCAACAAATGCAAAAAAAAAAAAAAAGATGGCGGTGCATCTTCCCATCTTCTAGCGGAAGAGTCGTTCTCATTTTGCACATTTGGTGAGTAGTGGAGTTTTTTTTTTTTTTTTTTTTTTTTTTGGACATGTGATCTTGGCCTTATCCGTAAGTGCTTTGTGGATAGGATCATTAACCCAACCAAAAAAAAAAGGATCATAAAGTCCCTATAAAATACTCCTAGTATAAAATACCCCTATAGTATACGCCTTTCGGGTGGAGTGGAATACCGCTATAAACTACCCCTAAAATGTCCTTTTGGGTTTAAAATTTAAATCCTTCAAGTATAACCCTGTCCGAGTTGGACACCCCTCTGGCAGAGGTAGATCGCAAAGATTTAAATCCACAAGGGCAATTCACAGACTTTGGAAATTTCCGAGGGGTATTCTGCTCTACTCGCAGCATACACGTGAACTTGGAGGGGTATTTTTAAAAATTCCCCTTTCTATTATTTATTTATTTATATTTACTATTTTACTATTTTTTAGTTTGCGAGTGTGTGTGTGTGTGTGTGTGTGTGTGTGTGTGTGTGAGAGAGAGAGAGAGAGAGAGAGAGAGAGAGAGAGAGAGAGAGAGAGAGAGAGA